CAAAGGTGGCATTGCAGTGCTGCCAGCAGGGAGGGACACCAAAGGTGGCATTGCAGTGCTGCCAGCAGGGAGGGACACCAAAGGTGGCATTGTAGGACTCCCCAGCAGGGAGGAACACCAAAGGTGGCATTGCAGGACTCCCCAGCAGGGAGGAACACCAAAGGTGGCATTGCAGTGCTGCCAGCAGGGAGGAACACCAAAGGTGGCATTGCAGGACTCCCCAGCAGGGAGGAACAACGTGTGCAGGAATAGGGATGTGAGTGGGTCTGGGTAAGGTCAGCTGGCACTTGCCAAATGACAGCAGCAACTCAGTTGCCCAGAGAAGGTGTGGCTGCCCCATCCCTGGAAGTGTCCGAGGCCAGGTTGGACAGGGCTTGGAGCAGCTCAGAACAGTGGAAGGTGTCCCTGCCCATGATGTGAGGAGGAACTGGGTGGGTTTTGAGGTCCCTTCCCACCCAAACCATTCTGGGGTTCTGTGTTTCTGGAGAAACAGGAGGCAGGAAAGGACAATAACTGAAGGGTGTGGAGAGCAGAATTTTGTAAAGCAAGAGTTGGTCTGGGAGCCACTGGCTGGACTGGCTTCAGTGCTATAAGAAGAGATGATTCAGCAAAACACCAGAGAGATGAGTGACCCATTTGTATTTCTGGTTTTGTGTTTGTGTCAGCAGGCAAATCCCATTGGTGGTACTGGTCCCTTTGTCACTGGGACTGCTTTGCTTACCTGTGTCCAAGAGAAATCTGTGTGATGACAGGGAGCAGCAAATATTTCCATAAATGCCATCAGTGGATGAGCCAGAAGTAGAGAGATTTCTATTTAGTGGACAGAAAGGCTTTTTGAGGGAATTTCAGGGCCTGGTGTGTGTGTGCCAGGGAAATTAAAGAACTGGGATCAGTGGTATAAAAAGGAATAGCTGAGAAAAACGAGATGAAGACAAAAGCTTCCCATGAGCTGGATAACCAGCCAAATAAGGCTGGAAAGCAAATTTTAGGGAGAAGGGAACTGGCTGAAGCAGTTGCTGCAGTCAGTGTTCAGCACCCAACTGTGCTGGCTCTGGGAGGAAGGAATGCCTTGATGAGATCAGATTCTGATCTGACTAATCTGTTTGCACAGTCCTTTGAACATGCAAAGTATTCTGTAAGTGCAGCTTATGATTAAAAGGGCTCTTTAATTTTCTTTTATCTTGGATGGGAGCATCATGAATATTTTTGTAATTCTATTATGTTAAGCAGCTGATCCACAGGAACGTTTTATTTGCCTGTAAAACAAATTCCCTGCAAGTTGGGACTCCCATGAAATGAATGATCTTGGAGTTGGACATGGAAACGTGTAATTCAACTTGACATTTTGCAGATGGAAAAAACCAAATCAATTTAGGAGCAGCATTTAAATATTACCCAGTCAATAAGTGTTTCTGGCTTCTGGCAGAGTGAAAATGTGGATTGTTGGAAATAATTCCCATGGCCTCTCAAAAGTGACTGTGAGCTCTACAAGATGTGGCTCTTGAAATTGTACTGAGATAAAAATCCTTCCTTCAGCATCACCTGTGGGAGAGCTGGGACCTTCTACAGGTGCTATTGGATAATATTCCCAGTTTCCCAAACAGTTTTCTGACCTCTCTTGTTCTGCAGAAGCCAAGCTGGAATAATTTAATCCATAAAACACATCTCATCATGATCTGTAAAAAGGGAAATTATTCCTGAATTGGGCTTTTTATCTGGTGAATAAAACTTGGGGGATTTAAGGGATTTGGGGATATTTTACAGACTGGCAGGAAGCCCCTCTGCCATGGAGCCAATGTGATGTTAATTGCAATAATATAATAGTACTATGTTTTTTACAACTCTGTGCTAAATAAATCAAAATACAAAGCTACCTGTCCTCAGAGAGGGGAGCCCATCTTTCCATAATGGACTTTGGGAGAGATGCCAAAGTGTTTCCTGCAAGGAAAAGGTGCCTTTCATTCAACAGTGGGGGCTGTAAATGCCCCTCCTTGTGCTCTGTGTTCTGCAGACTGAGGGAGAATAAAGCTGGTTTGTGTGTGACACTGGAGCTGAGCTGGGACAGAGAAGGGAGAGAGGCTGAAAATCCACTTTTTTCTAAAGTCAGCTGATAAAAACATAATCTCAGATTTCAGGGAAGCTTTGCTTCTTCAGACAGCTCAGTCTTTGTGAGGCCTTTTCAGAGCAGAGCTGGGGTTGGCTCCTTCAGAAATGAGCAACGTGCCCTGGCTTCTTATTTTGCATTGCAGTGGGGGCTTATTTTAGCTGTAAAAATGGATTTTTAACATGTAGAGGAGCTTGGCAGTTTCAGTGAGGGGGGAAATGCATAATAATTAAGCATCTAAAAGTGGTGAATGCAATTGCATCAAATCTTGGGTTTTTGGGCTCTATTTTACTTCATTTGCAGCTGTTTAGATGCAAATACAAAAAAAAAAAGGATTCTCAAGAATAGAAGAAATAATTTCCCTCAGAAAATTTTCAAGTGCTTTTGAGTTTTATGCAGATTTTGAGATGTAAAGATTATTGTACACAGGCCTTCAGTTTTCCTTCTTTTCAGCAAGTTTTGGTCCTCGTACTCAGCAGACCTGGAGCACAGGTAGAGTTTGGGAGGAAAAGAAGCAGGAGCACAGAACAGGAATGGCTGGAAATCTCCCTTCAGCCCAAATCCTTGTCCTGGTTCATTTACCTGTTTGGTGCTGGCTGTTTTTGCAGCACTTTAGAATCCAAATTGTGTTGTTTTGGCCTTTGTGGAATAATAATTTATTTAAAATTATGTTCTCTTAAAATGCCTTGTCTCGTGCTAAATTGAAAATGTACATTAATGTCTCGTGTCTGAAGAACCTGAACAGGTTAATGCTGGGAGGGTTTTATAATATACTGGTGCTAATGACATGTCTTTTTTGTCCCACCCTCCTCCTCCTTTTTTCTCAGGACTATTTTCCTAGTGTTGTTGTTCTCTCAGTATGCCAGAAATGTCAAATTCCCCTTACCCATTTACAAATCCAAGAAAGGATGGACAGCATACAGGCTGCAGCTTTTCAAGATGTTCCCTGTAAGTCCTTCAACTTGTTCTTCACTTGGCAAAGAAAACCCTGATTTGTGTTTCAGGGTTTTTTCAATCTCAGTTTTGATTTTTCTTAATAATACAACAGATCACAAAGGTGAGGTAAAAGCTTAAATGGATTTATTGGCAACTAAGTGACTCTTTGGCCACAGGAAATATTCTCGTTGCCAGATCCCATTCTGATGTCTGATGAGGGGTTGTTGGAGTGATGAAGATCATGGAGGGGAGGGAAGAGGGAGAGAAGAAGGGATATTTGTGGATGCAGGGAAAGCCTAAACTGAGCCCTCCAAAAAGGGATGGTGAGATGGTTATCGTCTCATTTTACCAAAGCAGTTCTCAGTTCCCCCGTGAAAGGCTTCTTTTCATTCCTCTGGTAAAACTGAGACTAATTCCCGAGTTTGTTAAAGTGCCCACTTGGAGACTTTCCCATTTGTTAAGGAGAGGAGAGACTTGCTCCAATTCCAGAGCTTTTGTAACAGCACCTTCCTGGGGGCCGGGGGGAGGCACCCAAAGGATCTGTTACAGCATTTGCTGCTTGTTCAGACCTCAAACCCCGCTCGGATCCGGGGCTGACAGTGTTCCACGCAGGGACTCTTGGTGGATTATTTGCTGCCGAGGGTTGATTTTAACAGATTTTAACAGACTTCTCCTCTCTCCCAGATTATTTTGGCAATTCTGGTGTCGTGGCTGCTGTGCTACATCTTCACGGTGACGAAG